TTCTTATTGAAAGGATTTCAATCATACATTTTTATTAGAAAATGTTTCTTTTTATTTATTCAATATTAGTTAGTTTTTTTTACGATTTACGTTTTAATTTTTACGACTCCAAAATGCTGGTACGTCAGCCGCATCGGCTGCCGACGGGTCTCAATAAACTATCTTTCTCGCGCTTATAGATACTCATAAGACTTTGTTATCGCGCTCATTTAAAATCTTTATTCGCTTCTGGCAAGTATTAAATCCCATTGAATTCGTCTGGCAATTAACACATATTTTTTAATATCATCGAATAAACACGCTGTAAAAATTTTAGAATGCCTAAAGTATGTTTTCCAGGTATAATAATTAAACATATTTGGAACGATCGGGTTACACTTTAAACCCGAAATAAAGTCTGCCATACTTAATTCTAGGTTAAATAGATGCTAAAATTTAAGAGTAAACAAATTTCAAGTTGCCTAAAGAATGTTTTTTGGATTTATTTTTTTGCAAATGTTATGGGTTGCGCAGTGGCGAAATACCCCCAACCCCCCAGCCAGACTTAGGATTCTGGGTTCACCAGTTAATAAACTATACACTTTTAGTTATTCTAGCTTGCCTAAAATATGTTCTCTAAATATGTCGTCAGCTCTTAGGCTATAATTTTTACTCCGAATAGAACATGCTATTTTTTCAAACGTTATAAATAATTTTTTAAACAATTTCAAATGTTGCAACTAATATAAAAAGATTTAAAAGTAATATCCTGTAAGTAATTATAGGTATATCGAGAAATTATGGTTATATTCGTTGAATTTGATACTTCACGTTAATACATATTTTCGTATTTTTGTGCTTAAGCAGAGGCCTAAAATTGCTTTACTTTTATGCCTAGGCGTTAAAGTTACATTTTTATATTGCAATCACGTCGCAAAAATTAATACTTTTGTGGCGTTTGAAAAAAAAAACATTTATTTTTTAGTTTTATAACATGTCTAATTAAATTTAGACGAAAGGAATATTGTTGTTGGTTGCTGTGGATAATTTTCTCAGGGAAAATACGTAAATAAAAATGATTTCTTAGGTCGAAAAAAGGCAAAAGGACAATTTGTTCCAAAAAAAGGACAGGTTGCAACCCTATCCTAGACCGTGATCTAGCCACGTGTCGCATGAAATACCTTTACCTTCCACCTCACCCTATCACCCCTTCCGAGTCCCCCAATTATTTCGCCCGACACTATGCCACCCTCCCTTTCATTTCCTATTAAACCTGCACCAGTTCCGACACAATTCATCCCCTTTTCTTTCAAGCCAAACGGGGGCACAATCGACCATCCTCCGCACCTCGCAGTGAGGAGTAGCGAGCAACAAGTAGCGAACTTGCGTAGAGCGAGCGCGAGGCTAGTAGGGCAGCAGCGTCGCGACGGTCCGTCCGTCGTTCAGTCTGTCGGCATCGCGGTCAGTCACAGCTTCTGTCAGACGGTTTTTGACGTGTGTGTCTTTTTGGCCCCGGTCGGTAGCTGGAAGACTATAGGAGGTTACGTCAGTGAGGAGAAACTTATTGTTTTTGTAGTGGTGAAAGACTATTTTAGGATAGAGGAAAGTAGATGGATTATGGAGGTGTAGAATATAAGGTAATGGAGATAGATATCAGTGTTAAAGATATTTTTAGAATTTTAATTGGAAGTGTGTTGTTGATGGTCGTTAGTATCTCGTTTCATTGATATTGCTTTATCTATTATAGGCCCCATCTGTCTATTATACGGGGAAAAACAAATGTTATTTTGGAGAAAGAATGAAACACCCTGTGGAATGTTTTAACGAAGTAAGGCATTTAAAAACCACTTAATCATTTCTCGATGCTTTATTTTTGGTTTATTTCAATAGCTTTATGTTTATTGGAGATATTCGCTTTTGAAGAAGACAGTAACGATTTACGGCAAATTTTAGTATTAAAAACAGATCTTTGCTTTTGATCCGCATCACTATACTTAGGAAACATACAGGAGTTTTTTTTCACATACTTAGGAGATTAAAATAATTCTTCTCCATTGAGTTCTATTGTAAGCTGCTACTTCTCACTCATTCTACATGTTAATCCCCTTTAAGTTTTCGTGGAAAATGTCCTTGTACCGTGAAGTGGGGTGACTTTGCCCAATACTGAATTTTAAATCGTGTTTATTTCAAAAATTGTTGTATTTTCTCAAATGCGCATGGTCTATGCTATAAGTGGTAATAAGCACAACACAACAATAATACGCTTTTTTGTTTATTAAACAAATATATATATATATATATATATATATATATATATATATATATATATATATATATATATATATATAGTTAGTTGCTTATATGGGGTGCCTTTGCCCTCTTCCTTATTCTTATTGATAGACCAAAGCCACCTCATTTAAAAGCATAATTACGTAAAATATGCTTCATCACCCTCAATATTATAACGAACTTCTGCATAATACTTACCTCAATATAGCGTGGTTAACTATTGCAGCCACGTAGAAGTTTGAAACGCACAAAATAGACTTTAAAAACAGATTTGGCTTCACAGCACTGTAAATGCTACATCGCAACTGACGGCAAGCGTTTAGCGACGTTCCGATACGTGGGGCGCCTCCACCCATAATTTACCGATAACACATAACGCGTTCTTTTCAAGTAGTGGCTACGGCTACGTCTAACATATTTTCGGACGGAATTTGGAAAAGTCACCCTAAGAGACAAAGTCACCCCATTTTACGGTACCTTTTCAGTTGTCCACCCGGCTTCCTCTTACCGTCTACAATCTCACCGCAAAGCAGAGATTTTGGTATGCGGTTTTCTTGTATTCTGCATACATGACCAGCCCATCTTAAACGGGATTTTGTAACCATGACTCCAATACTCTCGCAGTTAGCTTTTTAAAGGACCGAAACGTTTGAGACATGATGGAACCACCGGATTCTTAAGAGTTGTCTAAGGTGTCTCTGTTGCAACTTGTTTAATGCGTTCATGTGTCGGCGATACGGCACCCAGGTTTCGCTCCCATATAACATGGTGGGGATTATAATTGCTCGGTACACTGCAAGTTTCGTTTTTGTACTCAAGTCATGATTATAGAAAACCCTGTCTTTTAATTTCCAGAATGCTCTTGAGGCGCTGCTAATCCTGTGCTGAATTTCAGAGTCAATATTGGCCTTTTCCGAAATCAAACTGCCGAGGTAATCGAATTGCGCCACATATTCCAATAGTTCTTCTCCGATTTTCATAGCATTGTTGTGATCTTCCGGGGGAGTGCACATGATTTTGGTTTTGTCGATGTTTAGCTTAAGGCCCAAAGCCTCGTATGCCTAGGTATATGTGTTCAACATTTCTTGTAATTGTAACGTGTTTGCAATTAGAGCGCAGTCATAAGCGTATTGAAGTTCTGTGATGAATTTTGTACGTGTTTTTGCCCTGAGTCTTTTTATGTTGAACAGACCGCCGTCGTATCTGTATCTAATGCCCAATCCTCTCTCCTGCAGTTTGCTATCCACTATAATGGAGAGCGCTGCCTTGAATATGTTGAATAGGAGAGGCGCTAAGGCACATCCCTGCCTTTTTTCAACTCCTGTATTTGTTATGAATGGGTCGCTCAGTGATCCATGATGTAACACTCTTGACTTGTTGTTGTTATGGAGGCTTTTACACGTGTTAACCTTAACCATAATAAGAAAGACTTTTTATGTTTATGCAGTGGTAAAAAGACTGCTAAAAGAAAGAATAAAAATAGATTATAGAACGATCGATTAGTGTAGTGAAAATAGAAAACACATTTATCATGAAGGTGCAGAGTATAAGGCATTAAAAGTAGATCTCAGTGTCAAGTCACAAGTTATTTTTAGAATTTTAATTGTTAGTGCGGTTGTCGTTTGGTATTTCTTGTCATCGATATTGTATCAAACTCACGCAAAGAAAGAAAATAGTAGTAATTAAATTTAAATATAGAACTAGGTCTAGTTACTTAATAAAGAAAAACTGTAAATAGGAGAATAAAAGAACTGTTTCTGAACAATTGCTTCATTGCTGTTCAAAATCACACATCACAAGTACTTGCGAGGAGACATATTATGACATATGCACTGTACAGACTACAGAGCCATACTGTCCGATTTTAGTTGCAGTTGAAGGTTTTTTCGCTTGTAAATATAGATACACCCTTCAAAACATTTCTCAGCAGTGGCGGATACAGAAGAGGGGGCCATGGGGCCAAGGCCCCCCCTAAAATCTATAAATTTAATTTATATTTTTTATTTTATTTAATTTATTAGGGGAGAGGGAGAGGGAGAGGGAGAGGGAGGGAGAGGGAGGAGAGGGAGAGAGAGGGAGAGGGAGAGGGAGAGGGAGAGAGGGAGAGGGAGAGGGAGAGGGAGAGGGAGAGGGAGGGAGAGGGAGAGGGAGGGAGAGGGAGAGGAGAGGGAGAGGGAGAGGGAGAGGGAGAGGGAGAGGGAGAGGGAGAGGGAGAGGGAGAGGGAGATATTATATTTTTTTTATATTTCCATTTTCTCGCATTTTCTCGCACGTTTTTTAATTGCTTCCATTTTTGAATATTTTTGTTTTCCTTATCATAAGTTATTCGGGATTTAAATGGAAGTAGTTTGGATATGGCGTTTGTCGCCTCAGCCTGAATATCTGTTGGTAATTTACTTATTTCATTTTGAGCCATTTCTGGCTCCAATTCAATCAGCAATCGACACAAAAGAGAATTAAAAAATATCGACTCAAAACTGACAACTAAAGAGACAGCTTTATTTATTTGTCAAATTACATAGAAACCAACGCCAACCCAGCACAATATTTTTTCTACTCGTAATAAATTCCTTGAAATAATAATTTCTGAAATTTTTTTAAAACGTAACTCGCTATGGAAAAAAATATTGTTTTATACACGACGATAAAATTGCATAATCGTCTTGTATAAAAAATTACTATCATATTACATGTAAAATTTAAGTGTTCCATTCAAAATAATGCGCTGTCTTTTATCCTTGAATTGGAATTGACAGTTTCCAAATTTTGTTCTAAAAGTATAATTAAAAAAAATGATCGTAAATAAATTAAATGATTAAAAATATTAACAAGAAAATTATTGTAAGATATATAACTCAATGGCGTTTATTAATTAAAAATCATTATAAACAATGTTGCACAACACACACCAATTTTGAGCGAAGGCAAGCGAAGGTGACTTCAAGCCTGCTAGGTGTCCTGTTGTAATTTTTCATTGCCAATGTCAATGTTCTTTTAATTAAACAGGAATTACCAACCGCTAATTGATTCAAATTTCAGTCACCAATTACGTTTATTAAAAATAAGAAGAAAAAATCTCGGTTTTTTCTTCTATTTAATTTAAATCCATGTCTCTTTGAGAAGAATGGACGCCTTCTCTAAATTTCTTTTACAGTGGCGGACTAAGCCTATCGGGGGCCCGGGGCGGCGAAGCTAAATGTGGCCCCCGGTTTGTTTAGATAATGATATACTTCTAATGCACATTTTGTAAAAATTGAATGACTTATGTATAATGGTTGACAAAATTGAACTATTTATACAGGGTGTCCCAGGCTGAGCCTGCATTAGAAGTTTCTAGAGAACTACAATATCTAGATCTAGATCTATCGATTAAAAATATTTTCAATATGGCGGCACTTTCGGAAGTACCGGAAGTTGACAGCAACTGTCTTATTTCAAACGGGTGACCGCATTTTTTATTACTTACTTAAATGCTCTGTAAAATTTTATAGATTTTGATATTAAACACCTACCTAACGTTAACCGTTTTTGAGCAAAAAAAATATTTATAATTTTTGGAGGAAAAAACTGTCCGTCAAAAATATGTATATAGCCTAAACGTCAAATTTAGTGATTGCCACAGCCACTGTACCATAAAGAGAAGACATGTGGCTATCTATGCCAAAAATTAAATAGTCCGAATGTCATATAATAATGGTCGCAGCAGATGTCATGGAATTGAGCGATTAAAAAATTATCATAAATCATTTTTTTTTCAAATGGAGATCCACTTTTTATATTTACACCATTTAAAATAAGAAAGTTTCTGTCAAATTCCGGTATTTCCGGAAGCGTCGTCATGTTGAAAATATTTTTAATCGATAGATCTTGTTGTAAAACAATAATGTGCAGAAAAACTTCGATCTAGATATTGTGGTTCTCTAAAAACTTCTAAACTCGAAGAAGTTTCTGAGGGCTTATGATCAAGAAAAATCACAGATCTTCCTGGGTTTAAGTAAGAACAATCTTCGGATTGTCACGGGGTTTTTAACAAGACACTATCTCCTCAATGAACACCTCAGTAGATTGAAACTAAGAAGAAACGGCGAATGCAGATTCTGTGGAGAAGATGGGGAAACACCAGTACACCTCATCACTGAGTGCGCCTAGACGACAACCATTCGTGCCATGAATTTTGGTACGACTGATATTGGAGATGGAGAACTACCCTCTATAAAACCGTCCCAGATACTGGCTTTTGTCAAAGCCCTGGGACTGTATGATGAGTTATGTCTCAAGAAAGGGGGACACAATGGATCTGTAAGGTCGCAGTGATTAACCCCCCTCCCACTCATTCTAAATTCTAAAAACTTCTAATGCACGCTCAGCCTGGGACACTCTGTATACTGTAATAATTATAATAAAAATCGATATAGATATAAATATGTTACTCATCAGCAGTGCCGTCTTTACGTAGGGATCTGATGGGCCCTGGCCCCAGGAGTATTAAGGGCCCCAGCTCTAAAAAGGCTGCAGAGAAACGATAACATCAATTTTTTAAAGCTTATAATATTTTCAAATTGAGAAACGAATGCAATTTGATGTAATAAAACAATGTTTGCATGTATTTAATGGCAACTTATGATGACAAAGTGATGAAAATACCGGTTCCACATATGATCCGCGTTACTTTCGCTACCGTTCCAGGGAAATACCGCGACAAAACATCGCGATTTTGTAAGTCCTCCAAGATCCGATGGGCCCCTTCTCTGTCTCAGGCCCGTGGCCCCCGTTACGCTAAAGACTTCGCTGCTCATCATCGGTTAAAGAAGCTAGAATACAAGTTATGCTGTGCATTGGATGTAATTTAAAATGTTTATTCAGTAAAAATGAAACCATTGAAAAATAACTTAAAAGCTAAAATAAATAAATTCAGTCTCAAAATATATAAAAAATAATAATTATTCGATATTTTAAACAAAGAAAATTATCCCTTTATTTAATTTCCTAAATAGAAAATGCCAATTACAACTACTGGGACCTGATAATTGATAATTAAGTAAATATCTGCTTCCATTTATACTGTTTACAATTGGCGTATACGTATGGTTTGCATAGTCCACCTACAAACTGCTTCCTAACTACTGAACACATATTGGCCTTGTTTGCCAGTTGATTAAAAAAAAAATACTAAGAATTGGAGGCCCCCTAAAAGACGGGGCCCGGGGCGGACCGCCCCTTCCGCCCCCTCCTTAGTCCGCCACTGTTCTTTTATATAAAAGAGTTTTTCCCACTTTGTTTCGGGCATCTTATCCTCTTCGGGTGTCCTATTCCGGGCTGCTTCAAATTCATGCTGCTAAGAGCTAAGAGCTGCTAAAGTCTGTTGAGGGTGTTCTAAATTCGACAGCCTTTGACTCATCATGCCAGAGGCAGATCGAGTGATTTTGGTTGTCATGGTAAACGCTGAACGAGGTGCTGATAAAGGCTATTAATGCTTGAGCAACATGGTGGTCTGGCATTGTCTTCCTTGATGGGGTTCAGGATGGTGTAAAGGTATGGAATCACATGTGGCTACACCATTTCATGGATGTAGCCTTAGGATGTCATGTTGCCTCTAATGAAAAGCAGAAAAAATAACTTAAAAAATAAGAAAAATCCATTTTTTAAAAACGTGTTCAAAGTATAATAAATACGTTCGAAAATATATTTTTGGAGCCAAAACCAACTTGAAATATTCGATACAAAATCGAATGAAACAACAGAGAGAGAATGTAAAAAAAAACAAGAATCATATGATTGGATTTGAAGTAATCGACCAGCGGCCGAGGCTTCTATGCCATTGCCAAGGCGAATGGGTTATTTTTAGAGACCGGCTCGCCAGTTTCGTCGGAACAATGTTACAACATCGATACGGTGAAAGTTCGCAAGGTTGAAATTTGTATTATTTTTTTATTTTTACTAAAATTGTACTGAAAAAAATCATAGGGTTTCATGCAACCATAAAAAATGTTTAAATTTAACAAAATGTCTAAGTCGTTGAATTTAAAATACAAAAATAATTATTTTATATTTTAAATTAATTGTTCCCCATAGAGAGTAAAATCGGCTTTGAAAAGTTTGTTTTATGAAAATTCCTCAGTATATACGGGTACGTCTCAAAAGCAGCTCACCCCTATAACTTTTTTAATTTTTCAGATAACAAAAAAAAATTTGGTTTAGTATATGACATAAATTAGGATTTACTAACGTATTCAATTGTTTTTGGTGACTTCCTGTTTCACCGGAAATTACTACAACTTTTGATTTTTAAATGGCATCCTTGGTATTTTTTTACTTTATTCGATAGAAAATAACACTCTGAATAGAATGACATGTCATGTCAACTTTTGACATTTTGTATATAGTTTATTTGAAATTGTAACATGCGTTTCATAACGACAATTTACCTCGAAATACCAAGTGTGTGGTACCAAATTATTCGTAAAAAATGTTTTTTTTCCAAATATGCCACCCTTGTTCCATTTGAAAAAAATCGAGATATGATTAAAAATACGATTTGGGCATCTTTTAACCGGCCAGGACAAGACTCGAGAAATATTAGACGATCAAATTTATTTTTCCAAGGCCCCTTGATTAAAAATTAGTCTTTTTAACACGGCGATGGAACTCTACATTGAAATTTATAATACGACTTTTTAAGCGACCATTTTAAAAGTTGGCATATGAAATGTCACTCTATTCAGAGTATCAGTTTCTATTTTCTATCAAATAAAGTAAAAAAATACCGATGGTGCCATTTAAAAATCAAAAGTTGTAGTAACTTCCAGTAAACAGGAAGTGAACCAAAACAATTGAATACGTCAATCTATCCTAAATTATGTCATATACTAACATACCAAATCTCGTTTTTTATCTAAAAAAATAAAAAAGTTATAGGTGTGAGCCACTTTTGAGACGCACTCGGTATGGTTTAGAAGTATGAATTCTTGCACATTGGTTCCTTAAGTGATTTAATAAAATACTAAGAAATATTATTTAACAATTCAATTGCTAAAATTGTAAAGTAAGGGATGAACATTGGGTGGCACTTCCAGAAATACCTGAAGTTGACTGCAACTTTCTTATTTTAAACGGGTGCCCCCATTATTTATTACATATTTAAATTATTTGTAAAATTTTATGAATTTTGATATTAAAAATCCAATATATATACAGTGTGACCCACTCAAGACCGGGCACCCTCCATAAAATCTGTGTTTATAGTCCGATTTTGATGATTTTTTTTTCAAATATAAAGTTTCAAAAAATGTACTTTAGGGCTCAATATCATGTTATTTCACAAAAAACAAGGCCTACTTAATAAAGTTTTTGTGGTGAAAAATTTGCAAAATTCTAGAGAACAATAATATCTAGATCGGAGATTTTTTGCACATCATTATTTCACAACGAGATCTATCGATTAAAAGTATTTTCAATACGGTGGCACTTCCAGAAATACCTGAAGTTGACTACAACTTTCTTATTTTAACCGGGTGCCCCCATTTTTTATTGCATACTTAAATTATCTGTAACATTTTATGACAAAAAAATTTAAAATTTTTGGACGAAAAAAACTGCCCGTCAAAAATATGTGTATAGCCTAAACGTCAAATTTAGCGATTTAGTATAAATATAGCTTTTCCTTAAAACTAAGTTGACATCGAATTTGGTATAAACCACATTACTGCAATTTTAAAAATATTTTAACAAAATGTAAAAAAAATAATTGATAAAAATATATGTTAAACAAGTAATGCAGATCTAGGATAAACTCTGAAGTATTTCTATATACGATAATTTTATGATTTATTATACATTTATGTTGGAATGTGATTTAGAAATCAATAAATCTATTTTATGTCGAAATTTACTCGGTTTATGTTGGAAAAGATTGATGGCATCTCCATTTCACTGCTCTTTTGAACAGCTCACCCTTCTTGAACTGCTAATTTTTCAAGTATATAAGCGTATAATTTTTATTTATTGTCCAGCCTTTATATTTCTAATGGAAGTTAATGGAAAAATGGTAAAAAATAAATTCGAAGAAAAATTAACATGAAATAACAGTGACAGGTAGTTATTTAAAATGCGGATCTAAAAAATAAAGAGTAAAAAGTGTGTTCTCGTTAAGATTTTTTGTACTTCTATATTTCTTTATGGTATATATCGTCCTATTGCTGCCAAAAGTCACTAACTAACATTTTTCCGAACAACCAAATTCAATCACTAACTATGTTTTGAAGCGGAGAATCGATTGCAAAAGTCATTAACTACGATTTCTGGGTATTTTTGTTTTATTTTAATACCGAATAGTTACTAACTATAACATCTTTATGCAATGCAATTCATCTTTAGACGCCTTTTTCTCGTTAGTAATAAGAAGTAAGTTAGTGACTTTTGGCAGCAATGGGACGATATGATGTATTCTGTATAGGAATGTTGCTTTAATTTATTTCTTTATAATGTTAGTTTAATATCGTTTATCGATCATAATGTTATAATGTTAGTTTAACAAGAACGTACAACTTTGACAAACATGTCAATGTAGTATTGAGCAATAAGAAGGATTGGAAGAGCGAAACGCTTGCCCAGCAGTTAAAAGACCATACCATAACTTGGTATACTGATGCTTCCAAAACCAATACGAGAACAGGGATCGGAGTGTTTGGGCCGAGAGCTAATTACTCCGAACCAATGGGCACTTACCCTAGTATCCTACAGGCAGAAATCTACGCTATCGAGAGATGCGTACAACTTATCTTAGATAGGAACTATCGGAAACAAGAAATAGCCATCTTATCTGATAGTCAAGCAGCGTTAAAGGCGATCAACTCAGTATCAATCAATTCGAAATTGGTCAAAGAATGCATAGAGAAGCTGAATAAATTAGGCAAAGAAAACAAAGTCCTCCTACACTGGGTGCCTGCTCACCAAGGGATAGAAGGCAATGAAAAAGCAAATAATCTAGCTAGGAAAGCAGCGAACACTCCACTAACTGAACCAGAACCGTTCTGCTTTCCAAGTGGTAACCAACTCAAGGCGGAACTCAAGAACTTGGAAGATTCCATCCGCAACCTGGAATGGAAATTTTCCAATGGTCTAAGACACTCGAAGAAGTTTCTGAGGGCTTATGATGAAGAAAAATCACAGATCTTCCTGGGTCTGAGTAAGAACAATCTTCGGATTGTCACGGGGTTTTTAACAGGACACTGTCTCCTCAACGAACACCTCAGTAGATTGAAACTAAGAAGAAACGGCGAATGCAGATTCTGTGGGGAAGATGGGGAAACACCAGTACACCTCATCACTGAGTGCGCCGAGATGACAACCATTCGTGCCATGAATTTTGGTACGACTGATATTGGAGATGGAGAACTACCCTCTATAAAACCGTCCCAGATACTGGCTTTTGTCAAAGCCCTGGGACTGTATGATGAGTTATGATTCAAGAAAGGGGGACACAATGGATCTGTAAGGTCGAAGTGATTAACCCCCCTCCCACTCATTCTAAATTCTAAAAAATTCTAGTTTAATATTCAAATTTTATATATAAATCACATCTCAATATACTTTTGACAAAGGCCATTTACAAATGGTAAGTTAGGAGTAAACATTTCCATAGGATTTTGAAAAACCCATGTTAAGTCATCGAGTTGATTAAATCAAAATAAACATAAATAATGAACGCGAACTATTATCTTTAATATATATAAATTTTTACGCTTAAACAGGCTGGCAAAAATTCCACAATTAAATCTGATTAGTTGTTTTGTTTGATGTAAAATTCCTAATTGGAGTACAAACCTGTGATAACATGCCGTATCTACTAGAAATGGACAAAACGCTCTGTTATTTCTTGTTGAAAATTGTTAACAAGAATTGATGTGTTTTGATAATAAATGTGATTTAAAAAAATAAATAAAATAAAAAACAACCTACCTGAAAATAAATACTGCACCCAGAGTAGGAGGGCTTTTTTTTGTGTGCCTAACTTGTTCAACTTTTCTAAGCATTCTTTGACCAACTTCGAATTGATGATTCCTGAGTTGATCGCTTTTAAGGCAGGCGCCCAATAAACTAAGCTAATAATATGAAAACAAACAGTAACTAAACGAAAAGAAGTTTCATCAGCCACTGGGAACGATTTTCGCTCAATAGTCAGCTAAGTTAGCTGCGTTTTCGTATTGTATCTCTGCTATCATAATTAATCGCTGCGAAAGATTCGCTGGAACCTGTCACGAACTAAAACGAGCGAAACTAAACTACGATTCGAATCTTCGTTCATATATTTTCGTTTAGTTTCGCTCAAGTGGCCGCTGATGCATTTAAAAGTATGGCAGCTGATTTTTACAAATCTTATCTTCGCTTAGCTTAGTTTAATTTCACTCGCAGTGGCCGCCCGCCTTTAAGGCAGGTGGCCACTGCGAGCGAAACTAAACTAAGCTAAGAATATAAAATCAAACGGTGACTAAACGAAAATAAATTTCATCGGCCACTGGGAACGATTTTCGCTCAGTAGTCAGCTAAGTTAGCTGCGTTTTCGAATTGTATCTCTGCTATCATAGAACTAATCGCTGCGAAAAATTCGCTGGAACCTGTCACGAACTAAAACGAGCGAAACTAAACTACGATTCGAATCTTCGTTCATATATTTTCGTTTAGTTTCGCTCAAGTGGCCGCTGATGCATTTAAAAGTATGGGAGCTGATTTTTACAAATCTTATCTTCGCTTGGCTTAGTTTAGTTTCGCTCGCAGTGGCCGCCCGCCTTTAAGGTTGCTTGGCTAGCGGATAAGATGGCTATTTCTTGTTTCCCATAGTTCCTATCTAAGATAAGATGTATGCGTCTTTTGATAGCGTAGATTTCTCTGAGAAGGATGTTGGGATTTATTTGGAGTGTTTAGAGAGTTGTATGCTAACCAACTGCTTCAGAAATAATCATGGGTGTTACTTATCTGGTATACATCCAGCGCAAAATGTTTGGGAGACCAAAACGTTGTGTAAGAAATTCTTTTAGAGTGAATATTAAATCGTGGTCTACCACATTGAAAAAATCTATTATCAAAATTTAAAGAATAATGGAAAATATAGAAAAAAAATTAAAAATCAATAAAAATTGAAAAAGTAATGTTTATAATCACTCATATTAATAAGCATTTTAAATAATTGTTCATTTTTTAAGCGTGTCAGCATTTTCTTATCTATTTTTTTATTTCCATGGTGTCGTCTTGTCCGGTCGTACGTGCCTTTGCGGTCGCCCATCACTCCCCCCTCCTCCCCAACGTGGGGGGAAGACAATGGGCGACGCGCGTGTATTCCGAGAATGCACTGATGATGGACGTCACCGATAGAACCCGAGACGTCGCCTCGCCCATTACCATCGAGATATGGTCGCGGTCGCGGCGGTCGATGTGACGGGAATGTCGCGTCGTCGGCGATTCTTAATAAGCGATCATGGGTCAGAAGAAAAAATAAATGAAGAAAAGAGCTGGGCTTGCAAAGTAGGGATTATTGTAGAAACTATCAACCGAATACGAACTACTAGCCATATCCTTTGTAGACATTTAAAAGGCTTTCTCCTATATATATCCTAAGGCAATAGACATATCCTAAGACAGACCTTAAATAGAAACTCCCGCCAATATATCGAGCCAAAGCGAGAGTTCTTCTTAAGGTGCCGTGCAGATTCCTGCGTAGGCGTTCATCTTTTTCTTCCTCATCAGATGGTTCTGTTAACTGCCGCGACTTGGAGTGCTTGGAAGTCCTGTACGCCTGTCCAATGACGAATATTTCTCAGCCAGGATAGCTTCCTTCGTCCTATCCCCCTTTTGCCCCCCTCTATTTTACCCTGGAGAATCAGGCGCTGAAAGTGATAGCGTTCTCCACGTAGTATGTGTCCCAAATAGGCTATTTTCCTCTTCTTGATGATTTCGAAGAGTTCACGTTGTTCCAGACCAGCTCTTCTGAGAATGTCTTCATTCCTAACACGGTCGACCCAGGGCACTCTTAGCATTCGTCGTAGGGTCCACATTTCGAAGGCTTCAATTCGGTTTATTGTTGCTACCTTCAGTGTCCATGCTTCCACACCATATAACAAAACGGACCAGACATAGCACTTCACCATTCTGTATCTAAGGCCGAAGTTCAAATTCCTATCTGTGAGAAATCTTCGCAGTCTCAGAAAAGTAGATCTTGCTTGTTCGATCCTGCATTTGATCTCCTGATCCGGATCCCACGTTTCGTTAACCATGCATCCCAAATTTTTAAATTGTGTGACCTGCTTGATTACCATTGTTTCTGCTAACAGCCATAAATTTAGTTTTTGTAGTATTTATGTTTAAACCCAGCCTTTGACTTTCACTGTTAACCTTATTTAGAAGGATTTGGAGATCATTTGCATTGTCTGCCAATATCATTGTGTCATCCGCATATCGGATATTATTAATTGGAATACCATTTATTTTCAAACCAATGAGACACCAATATCAAACCAATATCGGAGATTGACTCAGTGAATGCTCTTTCCACATATAAATTGAACAACATTGGAGACAGAATACACCCTTGCCTTACCCCCTTTTTTATTTCAAAATCTTCTGTTACTCCTACGCTATGTATACGAATTTCAGCTTTTTGGTTCCAATACAAATTACTGATGAGCCTTATATCTTTTCCATCAAGTCCCAAGTTTCTGAGGTATGATACAAGGAGGTTATGTTTAACATTATCGAACGTCTTTTCATAGTCTATAAAGCACATGAAGACATCTTTTCTCTGATCTTGGCAATTCTGTACTAAAGTTTGAAGACTGAATATGGCTTCTCTAGTACCAAAGCCGTTCTTAAATCCAAATTGACTTTCTCCACTTACTTCCTCACATATTTTGTAGAGTCTTGTATGCAGTACCCGTAAAAAGAGCTTAAGAAAGTGGCTCATTAGACTAATAAGACGATACTCTTTACATGAAGTTGCGTTACTTGACTTGGGCAGCGTGATAAACGTAGAACGAAGCCAGTCTTCAGGGATGTAACCGGTGTCATAGATGTTATTGAAAAGCTGTACTATAGTTTTTAAGTTTTGTTCATTAATTAAGTGGAACGTTTCCGAATACATATCATCAGGCCTGAGTTTTGTCGTTTTCATTAATCTAATCGCATGAATAATTTCACTTTCCAATATGCTTGGTCCTGATGGCATGGGAATCTCAGTTGCAGGGTTTTCTGATCTTTCGTCGTTGAAAAGATTAATGGTATAATTTCTCCAAGTTTGCAATAGTTCTTCTGTTTCCGTTATAATTTTATTTTCATCAGTTTTAATTAGGGTTATTGATTTATTATGGTGTAACCCAGCTATCTCTTTCACTTTCTTGTGAAGATGGAAATTGTCTCCAAGGTGACTGAGATTTTCGGCCTCTATACATCTCTCCTTTGCCGTTCTTATTTTATTACGAATTTTTCTTTGCATAGATTTATATTCGTTGTGATTATTCTGGATTTTAAATTGTCTTCGTTGTTCCATCATTTTTAAAATATCTTCACTCATCCACTCGTTTTTCGCTGTTGTTCGATTAGCCGTGAGGAGGTTTTCATTTGTGTTCTTGAAAGCTTGCTTAATGCCCAGCCAATGTTTCTCAATGTCATTTGTACTGACAATACTTTCCAATTCTCTATTTATATGGTTTTCATACATCGATCTTGTCTGCTGGTCTCTGAGAAGTTTTGGATCCAAGTTCTTTCTCAAGCTTTTTCGTTTAGGTTTGGCAAAACGCAATAGGATGTTGGCACGTAATGGATTTAATGGAAATCTATTATTAATTAGTATATAATCTATTTGATTACGAACAATACGGTAATCATTGTCTTGTGGAGACTTTCAGGTATAAAGTCGTCTAGATTGGAGTTTGTACCATGTATTTGTGATTGTAAGATTATTTTCTTCACAGTATTGTATCAATTTCTCACCTGTGTCATTCCTTTCACCTAAACCATAATTTCCGACCACAGATCCCAACCTGCCTTTACCGACTTTGGCATTAAAATCTCCCAAAACCAAGTTTATTTCATTACTTTTTGTGAGTCTTAGTACCTGATCAAGTTGTCTGTAAAAGTCTTCAATCTCGTCCTCTGCCTTTTCTGCTGTTGGAGCATAGACCTGGATGATATTGATATTAATAGGCCTGCCCAGTAACTGAATTAGAATTACCCTTTCTGAGAGAGGAATAAAGTTCTTCACTGACTTTTGTAAATTCTCATCTATTAAAATACCAACCCCTCGCTGATGATTTTGATCAATACTGTCATTGCCGGAATAGTAAAAGACTTTACCTTTCGATTTAATCATTCCAGTACCAGGCCAATGGACTTCACTGACTCCAAGGATATTTACCTCCATCCTGTTCATCTCCTGTATTAAATTGTCAAATTTTCCAGCTGCAAACAATGTTTTCACATTCCAAGTCGCAATTTTTGTTATCTTATCTAGTTGGAACCGGGGGATTCTCTTCGCACTTCTTGACCACTTAAGGGCTGCCCGGGACTAGAGGCCATTTGTTTTTGAGCTTCCAACCTAATAAGAAATACTAGGATGAATATATAATGCGAGAGTAATGATACATAAAACAACCCCAGAGTTCCCAACTGGCAAAGGAGTACGACAGGGAACCGCGACATCCCTAAAGCTGTTTAGAGCCACATTAGACGAAATCTTCCGTCAACTGGATTGGACAACAAAGGATTAAAAATAGATGGAGAATATCTTAACCATTTAAGATTCGCTGATGACATAGTCCTAGAACTACAAGCACAAATTAATGAACTAAATACAGCCAGCAATAAAGTAGGTCTCAACATGAATTTATCAAAAACTAAAGTAATGTACAACGAACTAGTTAACCTGGGCACTTAAAACGGATATAAGAAAACTGCAGGTCGCACAACGCTCAATGGAACGAAATATGCTGGGAATAACCAAGAGAGATCGTAAAAGAATAGAGTGGATATATGATAAAAACCCCAGGTAATAGATGTCATCCACAGAGTCAAATCTCTCAAATGGCAATGGACAGGACACCTGAAACCTGACAGAAGAATGGACAACAGATGAACCAAAAAAATTACAGCATGGTAACCACGAGGAATTAAGAGACCCAGAAGAAGACCGAACCTGAGATGGGACTATGCTATTAAGAAATTAGCAACTACAAAGAGTGCTGTGAGAGAGGCTACACCATAATTGGAAATGGTTGAATAAGCTGAAAATTATGATGACGATGATGAATAATGTATCTGGCAACTCTGCGCACCACATCGAACGGCAATTCAATCAAGGTACTTCCAAAATTGAAGGTCTACGAACCAGGGATGGGCATTTTACACCAATTCTACTAGAGATGTAGCACAAAAATAATTAATTATTTTAGGCTGCTTCAAAGAGGGTTGCCAACATGCAATCAATTAATGAAGAGCATAAAGCGTTATATATTTATCCATTAACTCGATGTTAAAAAAGAATTTCTAAGAATCAAGTATCGTTAAAATGCATTTAACCGATATAACCAATATCGTTAAAATTCATTTTATCTAACACTTATTCTAATATAGTCAAACATTAACATGTATAAAAATGCAAGTTTTGACATAGTTTGTATAGTGTTTGTACTTTCGTGTCGCTCTCAGCGGTCGGGTTAAGCGGATGTGTGGCCGAAGGAAATACACACACCGGAAAAATCTAGGGATATCATTTTATTAAAGTTAAAAATAAATGTTTTGAATAAACAGCCACATATTTGTAGGCCGATTCTTTCTACTCCGATTGAAACGAAGTAGTCACACTAGTTATTTCTAAATTTGGGATATTTGCAGAAGTGTTTGTGCATTTTTTGTCAAATGTATAAAAAGCACCTAGCATCAATTGTTCGAATTTAACCTGTACTGGCTATGTTGTTATGATAACTGGCCAGAATTCATTCAAATAACTCTGTTTAATATTAAACGACATTATGGAGCGTAGACATCTTAACAGAGACGAAATGTTAAGGACCATGGGTATGCTGGAAGCTGGAATGCGCCAAATCGACGTAGCTAGAGCATTTAATACAACGCAAAGTGTAATATCGCGATTAAGTGCACGCTACCGTGAAAGTGGTGATGTTCCTGAAAGGCACACAGGGCGACATCGCATTACTACCCCTCAGCAAGATCATTTTTTACAATTATTAAATGCTCGACGCCGACCGACTCTTACAGCACCTGAACTTAGTTTAATTCTCCAGGAAACACATAATGTAATCGTTAGTCCTGACACTGTTCGCAATAGATTAAGAGAGGTCAATTTAAGAAGCAGACGCCCCTGGAGAACTCAACCCTTAACGAGAGGAAATCGAGAGGTACGATATTTGTGGGCTCAAGATCATGTTCAGTGGTCAAATGAACAATGGGCCAATATTCTCTTCACGGATGAGTCACGCTTTGGAATTCATCCGGCTTAGAGAAGGCTTAGGGTATGGAGAGAACCGGGAAATCTTATTCGGTTGGATCATGTTCTGGAAGTGCACTCTTATCAAGGTGGAACAGTTATGGTCTGGGGAGGAGTCCAGTTAGGCCGAAAAACCGATCTCGTTTTTCTTAAAAGATTTCTAACAGGAATCACATATCGTGATTTAATTCTTGAGCCTGTCGTGTTACCATATGCCAATGAGTTTGGGAGAAACTTCATTCTCATGCATGACAATGCACGGCCTCATACAGCCAGAGTGGTAAGTGAGTTTATCAATGCTCATCAATTAAACATCTTTTACCCTGGCCGGCACAGTCTCCTGACCTCAACCCCATCGAGCACGTATGGGACGCGGTCCAAAGAAGAATTTTCAGAATGGTTATGCCTCGTGAAACTCGTAGGGATCTGGTTCGGGCCGTGAATGCAGCGTGGCAGGCTGTACCTCAAGAAGAGATCGACAACCTGATCAGGAGCATGGAGAGACGATGTAGGGCTGTAATGAACAGTAGAGGAGGCCATATCCTTTATTAAGTAAAATTGGTTTTATCTTTTTTTTTTAATTCACAGTTTAGAATAAAAAAAAATCTGTGTATTTTTTGAGTTCAATAAAAATCAAGGTAAATTTGAAAAATTCGGTAAATTTCGCATTTTTATTTCCAATACGTCCTGTAAATTATTTGTTTATTTTAATTTTATTATATCAGAAATGAAAATAATAAAATTACTGACGATGGCTGGATAAAATTGTAATATCCCTAGACTTTTCCGGTGTGTGTATATATTATATTTCAGAAATTTGCCTAAGGCTTAGCCCGATCCTGTCATGTTAGGCCACACCCAAAATTTCAAACACACGTGCTTTGATTAAGGCTTGATTAAGGTTTGCAGAGCTTCAGCATTTGCCATAAAATAGCGAACAATTCGTTACAAAATCATATAAATTATATATCACGTTAATCACAAAACTTCAATCTATTTCCGTATTGTAACGGAATTTTAATTTATGTCTTTATTTTCGAGAAAATTTAGTCCAAATATAAGGAATGTTTTGTTGATGTTTGACCATCAAAATCTTAAAAATAAAAAAGTTGTCTAAAAATGTGCTACAATACGGATATAGTATAATCCTTTATCTTTAATTTCCTTCTTCATTTGTGTAAAATTATTGTATTTTGCTACTTTTTCGGACTAGTGAAATGGACTGTTATCTAAAAGTCGCTGATGACCTAGTCCTGATTAGTCAATCCTGATTAGTTCTAAATTGCCAATTGTCCTGAAGAACTACAAGTGGATCTAATAAAGTGGGTCTCAAAGTAAAGTCCATTATCTCTTGCTACTTTTTCGGACTACTGAAATGGACTCTTAAATTAGAACCAATCGAAACCAACTAATGCGAAAGAAAAAAAAATCGACACCTCAGATCACGCTCGATATGGTTCGTTTGCGCTTATCGATCTACGTTCCACGAATGTCAATGGGGCCGTGTTCGTGTAAACAAATGTTCGATACGGACTTTTATTAGCGCGGTGCACTTTCCGTCTTCGCCGCTACGTGAGCGCTTTATTTATTAAGCGCCACGACGAGACTATCAAAGAAAACTCATTGTAAAATTGCTTTATGAGGCTATTGTCTTGTGCTCGTCTCGGTATGCCATTGTGCTCGGAAATGCCGATAAAAGTTTTCGTCAAATAAAGCTCGTTACGAGAGAAATACGGAGTTTGTTTTGGTGACAAAATTAATAACAATAAGTTCTGAAAAAAAATAATTCTGATAGTAATGTACCATTTTTAATTTAAAAGGTATCAAAAAACAAGACAATAGTTACCCAATATGCTGAATATTCTTTGGTTTGGTTTGGTTTACATTAACATATTGCAACACGAGTACAGACAAGGATGTTTGATCTGTTTTAAATATACAGGGTGGCGCCTCTCATACGCCGCGAAGGCTCCAAGGAGAACGACAGTTTGTATTGAAATATGTAGGTTAATTTAGAGCACTTTTTAAAAATATAGAGAGTTCTACAGGGTGTCCCCAAAAAAAGTTACATATCAAAGTTGGGTTTTTCGTAACGGAACACCCTTTATATTAATTGATTTTCGGATTCTGGGAGAAAAATAAAGGTGAGTTTTATATAACTAAAATGTAACGTTTTTTGACATATTTAACACTTTCTAGAAATAAAGAACAATTTTTAAATTACAATAAAAGCTACCTAAATTGGAATTTACCCGGTATAACCTAATATGTAGTTAAATTAACTATTGTACTTTAAATCAAATTAATACTTGATCCAAAAAGTTATACAGCGTGAGACAAAATTAATAATGAACATTGGTTATCTTCAAAAGTATGTTACTCTTTTATTTTAAATGGAACACACAGTATATTATTCATGTCTCTTCAAATCATGTCTCTTCAAAATGCTATTAAGGTTGCCTACCCCTCAAACATAGATTTTTCTAGATATTTTCATTTAGATAATTTGATCTGAGTAGATCTTTATTATTTCATTAAATCTATATGTCAGACGTTACTTTACCATAGCTGTCTAATTAGTCCAACTTTAACAACTAGATATCATTTTGTGTCAGTTAAAACAAAACAAAAAATCTCAGAAATTTGCCAAACATTTTCTCTGATTTGCAATCAGATAGAATTTATATGATTCTATTAGTAGGTGAATGCAGTGTGGTATTCACCAATTAATAGAATAATTAAATGCTCCTGATTTTATCTAGTCTGGTTTCTTATGGGGATATGTTAAAGAGAGTATTTACAAAACTCGGCCAACTATTGTCGACAACATGAGAGAAATTAGTAGCAGAGTAGCTGTTTTTCGAGGTAGAACTCCACATATGCCTTTTAAAATGAAATGATCCTTGATTTTGAAAAGA